GAGACTTCACAGCGATGAGCCATCAAGCACGTTAAAGGGTTGTTTCACCTATAAGATTGTACAGCGATCAGCATCGGCGCCTACTTGGTCTACTAAATTCCAAGTAACCCCAACCACGTATGCCGCCACCTACTGCAACTCAGTCATAACACGAATTTGAGGGGCCAACAGCTCAAGTTTGCCACGCAATACACTCGGCTAGAATGTCGGCGTAACTTACTTCCTTCAACTCAGCCAATCAGGGAACGCTCTCCCAAATTACGTCGTTTCTGCCCCCACTTTATCTTTGTTTAAAAACGTCCTGACGTCGCCCTAATCCATCTGCATTGCGACATATAGCCTGTGTACTTCGAAAGGCGATCTGATGTCGCCATTATCATCAACGGCAATACATCAGCCATTTTAAATGATGCTTCGCTGCCATGCAATCATAACGAACTATGGAACGAAGAATAAGGACTAACCGGAAAACCGCACTGTTCCAAGCTAACATTTAGTGTTAAGGCGCCGACACTTTGTCAACGTACCGTCACAAACAGCTGGCTATCGTGGAAAAAAATGTCGGCATCGGCGCGACAGCTTTCTTGTGGCTTTCACTGCCCCGCGTCATAATCAGCCATTACCCCGCAGATAACTCAGCACTTTACACACTTTAAACAGGCACTCCGACTATGAGACAACAGCAGACGCGCTACTGTTGCCGACTGCGAGCTATGTCCTGCTAAGTCTCAAACTAAGCCCTAGCGAGTCATGTGGACTTCAGCATGGAAGTCGAGACGGACCGACGACACCAAGTTTAGTCGTCAATGGCTATATTTCCCGCTGCCAAGTCATCTTTTGTCCACTTCAAGTTTTGCGCTACCATTTATTTGGCAGACAAAACAACGCCCTCCTCGATAAGCGGTGACCAGGCATATGTAGTACGTGCCCAAGCCAACGAAACTTATTCAGTGCTATCCATTGTTCTAAGGTACTAGCTTAAGAATCACTGTCTAGTAATCGCATACGCACATCATCGTTGTGGACACGCTGGTGCCACCTGATATCAGCAATGCTCCGCAGGCAGTGATGGTCAAAGACTTGAGGGCGCCTCAGATCTTCAGACTGAAAGGGCCAAGTTTCACTTCTATAGAGCTGGACGTCCCTCACTGTGGGCTTGTAACCACGGCCTTTCAAACGGAGCGAAACCGCTTTCTGTCGCCACGGATGTCGCAGATTCAAATAGGCAGTCCCGTCTTTTGCAATACATGGACTGACTTCATTAGCTATGCGCCCATCCTTTCTGATACAGCTGCCAAGGTAAGTGAATCGATCAACTACCTCGAGTCCTTCGTTTTCCAGGGACAAGGGATCATGTGGCTGGTGGTCCGGCAGCAACGCTTTGCCCTTTAAAGGTGCGAAGCGCATACCAAATAATGCGGCCACTCTAGACAGGTTATTCAGGATGGATTGCGCCGCCGCAACATTTTCAGAAAGTAAGACGATATCGACCGTATAATCAAGATCAACTAGCTTTTCGCCAGGCAGCATCTCAACTGCAATGTCTTGAGATTCCGCAAGGGAACACCCATGATGGAGTCCACGACAAAATTGAACATAAACAGGGAAATCGGACAACCCTGACGATCGCCACTTGTTGTTGGAAAGCTATCCGATAGGTCACCGTAGACCCTGACGCGGCCTGTAGCGGTGAAATATAGAGCACGTAAGATGTTCACATATTTCATGGGTCACATTTTCGCGGAAGTGCTTCGAACAGAATGCATCGGTCGACTGAATCGAACGCACTTTTGAAGTCGAGAAGCACAGCTATTGTCGGTCTGCGATATGCGTGGCGATGTTCTAGCACCCGCCGCATAGTGAATATATGGTCTATATATCCACATCCTGAGCGGAAGCCTACTTGCTCTTCCCTGATGCGGGATTCCCGTTCTGCATTGAAGCGTCGAACGAGAATTTAGGTCAGTAATTTTGTCCCTTCCGGTGTTAGCACTGTCGATGCGACTGCGCTTCTTGTATATTAGCACTATGGTCGGTTCACTCCGGTGAGCCGGGATGATTTCCTCCTTCCATACATGTTTGAACAAGGCGGTGAGTGCCTTGCGGAGGACATCACCTCCAACGTTAACTATTGCAGGTGGGTGGGGATCGGGCCAGCCGCACGAAAACGATGAAGGGCTGTTATCGCATTTCAAACCTCAGCTTTCGACGAAGACTAAACTATCCGTCCATGGCTCGTCCTGCATCACATGAGTAATAAGTGGTCCGGAAGCAGTGGACCAGCTGAACTGATCTTGAAAGTGTTCCGCCCAACAAGCCATATGGCACCCCTTTTTGTGTATCCGAGCACCCGCACTATCTCTGCTTGTCTCACTGACACCTGATTTTCTGTGACCAGTGGTGCGGATTGGTTGGAAGAGTTTGCGTAGTTTCCTACTGCTTCTGCCTCCTCCATTTCTTGAGCCCGACTGGTCTGCCAAGCTTCCTTATCAGCACGCAGGCTGCGCTTTAGTTCGCGTCTGTTAGTCCGTCTAGTCACATTGTGCTCAGAGCCAGCCGGGAGGTTTCTTCCGGATTCCAACAGGTTCACCGACCTCTCGGATATCCAGTGACTGGTGCGTTGACGATTGACAGTGCCACAATCCTGCGTCGTGCATGGCGGCCGAGATCATATGCCACTGAAGCTCAGTGTTATAAGAACAAGACAGCGAGAGTTCGGTATGCAGTGCTACTTGGTAGGCTTGCCTGACCGAGAGCTGAAACGATTTCTCAGTTGCCAGTTGGAGGAGACGCTTGGTGCGCCTCCCGGTAAAGTTCTTGGAGAAACGACAGCGTACCAAGGCATGATCAGAGTCGACACAGGTACTCCAGTACGAGCGGCAATCCAGCATGGAACCACATCATCTATAACTTATGGCTGTCGTCTATTTGGATGCATCGCTGGCCAGCTACAGGGGGACGCCAAGTGGCACTTCGGCGCCCACTGTGTCTAAAAGCAGTGCTACTAAGAAACAGCTGGTGCTCCGCACACAGTTGCAGCAGACGCTCGTCCTTGTCAGTCCGTTTGTACTGAAGTACATAGCAATGCTTCTGAACAGTTTAGATGACCTACTTGCGCCTTCATATCCTTTGCAAGCACTATGTTATCTGAACTGGTAGCACTGTACGGTAACGTGCTGTTCGTGGCAGTTGGGTCCTTGGTAACATCAGTACTGTAGTCGGTAGGATCATAAGCGGAAACCACGAACAGCGTCTTGTACCATCTCGTGAATCAACCGTGGTCGATGTCCTCAGACGGGCTGCACACAAACGGCTGTTCAGCGGAATTCAATCAATCGTCGTTGACTCAGCCTTGGAGCTGTGAATGATACCTACCGCAGCTTGACCAGTGGCTGCCGCGTCATTGTCTCCGGATGCGTGCAACACATAGCAAGAGGATAAGCCGGACGCAGTTAGTTCAATAACCCCGTTAGGGTCATTAATCCTAGTTTCGGACACACAACACACATCAACACCCAGTGTGTCCAAGGTGCGTGCGAGTGCAGCCTGTTGACCTATTTGTCTTGGAGTGTGAGCGTTGAACGGCGCCAACGAAACGGGACAGCGTGGACTTATAAGGGACTGTTACCGATTGGCGTCCAGTGAAGGTAAGGGAATGTAGCTGCAGATATTTCGACTCAAGTGGCATTACGGCTGCTGTTGATTCAGCTAGGAACTATATGAGGAAGGTTATTAATGGGGGTTGTGAGGGAATTAAGAGAAACAAGTGGAAAAGTGAGTAGGGAGGCGCCAGCAGTAGCATGTTTTCGCTTATCCGCCCTGCGGTAGGCAGCAGCTAAGGCGACCGTTAATACTCTGCGTGACGGCCGATGCAGGGTGAAGTTTAATTCGGAGAAAAAATCCTGGTTTTTTGTGGGTTGAGATACTACCCGGGCACCCAGACCTAGACAGTAGGACGATTAGGGTCCCCATCCAAAGCCTTTGACTCAAAATCCCGTCCGCATGGCAGCAGGGTGGTGGCAGTGATTTAGTTTTACAGAAATGGTTACCATCATATTTCAAACCCCCAACTTGGAGGATCAAGAGACTGCGTTTGACCCATTGACCAGCCTGGTAGGAGTAGCTCCCAAGAGGGCCGGGGCACCACCCAGTGTAGCTCAGTGGGTCAAACGTACGCAGACCGTCGCACCACGTTAAGGTCCAGTCACATTGCGAGGATATGATATGGCGAATGTTGCACAACCAGTGTTAACCCACTCAGTCGAGGTTGATCTTTTGCGTGCCTCTATGTGAACACTGTGGTGAGTTCACGAAAACGCTTTTATTTTTATCATTATGTCTTCTGTGCATCATTATTGTATTTTCATTCTGGACATCCTACGGACTTGTCAATTAATTGCTGTTTTACCCGCAATACACCATTGTCCCTGTTAGGCTCGACCCCAACAGTTTTTGCTAATTGCTGCTTGTAATGATGTCCACTGCACTAGATTCGCGTTTTTTTCTCATGATTCTCCAGTGTATCTCCCTTATTCCCTAGTACAACAGCCACTTTGCTTAGAGATTTGTTGTACCAGGCAGAACATGTTCACCAATCTCCTTCTGGTTGGGAGGATCAATATGTTCTCCTTTCTGTACCAAGAAAGCTCTTGCGTGGGGAAAGCAGATGTCTCTTGGAACCACCTATCTCAGTATGGCTGATAGACAATTTAGCTGGATCGTACAATGTGTGCAGCACTTATGTGTCACTATCTTACCCCCTTCATGCTCCTAATTAATAGTATTAGTTCACTATTGAATCCTTTTACCCTTATCACGTGTCCCACTACGATTGCGTTTAGACAATTAATCGTTTCTGCGAAAGCAGAGCTACTTAACAGATTCTCGCGATATCTCTTACAATGCCGATGTTGATGTTGCTATCCTCTGACCGCAGCACATCAGGTGACTTCTTACTTAAGCACCACTTGTGCTCACAATTTCTCTTCCGTCCTCTGTAGGCTGGGGTGCGTAACGGGATGTTACTTGGTCAAGCACGACAGATTTGTCCAGATTTACTTACATTACCTTATGACTTCGAAGCGTATAAGGAGGTCTCCGAGCAACTGTATAGAACCATTGCAGAGTAAGTTCCTTGATCTTCTAAAATTTTCCCTTGACATTTGTACTTATCGGACAGCGTTTTTGTACACTTCCTAAAGCAACCGCGTTCTGCACTTTAGTCGCTTTGCCTGTTTGTTCTCTGGCCCCCCCCATTCCCAGGGAATAAACTCGATCCCGAATCCGTTCCTTGTAGGGTTTAGTGCATTCACATTCATCCCCTCTGGCCAAATTGTCCATACATACATGATATTACTAATGTACATACATGATATTAATAGTGGACCTACAGCTGTTTGCGGTATGAATGTTGTGAGATTTTGAACACCCTGACTAACGATTACGTTCGGACGGTCGGCTGTTTGCGCTCGATATTTTGTGCTGTTTCAGCGTTCCTTTCCTAGCGCAAATGGGTTGCCAGGTAACACTCGCACACACACTATAGATGCTCTAGATGTTGACGTGTGCTGCGTCTCACAAACAGGATTTTCTCGGCTCTAACATACTTTAAAACAGTTAGTTCCCTTCAGTAGTTTGAACAACGAAATGAGAAGACGAATATTGGCAGATGCTAGCATTTCTTATTATCTCGTCAGTACCAATACAATAACAGGGAAACCTTTTTATCTCTCTAATAGGGCACAGTCAAGCCAATCAACTTTATGGTTGTTGTTAGTGTTGTTGGGACTAGGACCATAGCAACCGCAGGTTGACAACTAATTGCTTTTGAACACACAAGGCTGGTCTAATTCGGCTTATCGCGACGGCCTCGGCAAATCGCAAAAGGCATGAATTAGTATGACACAACAAGATCCGGAACGCCGATAAGGGATTGACTCGGTGACGAGTCGCCAAAATGTGCCTGCCTATGGAGGCCGCTGGCGGCTTACGTCAGCACGTGTCGTTGGAGGTGGTCTGAGTACCTTCGCGCTGAACCCAGTTTGGTAAGTGCTGCTTCACTCTGGAATCTAAAGCCCGTTCGGTTCTGCCGATGTAACTGATGCCGCAGTCACACACGAATTGGTAGACACAATGGGATTTGGCGCCGACGGGTTCATCTTCCTTTACTGAAGGTAACGGCAACTTTCGGGTTCTGTTGATAATTACCGTCTCCGCACCACAGTACGTACGCTGAATGGCCGAGACAATGCGTTTGGTTGTCATTCTAGCTGCGATGTCACCCTTGAATGGTAACTCGATGTATACCTTTTTCTTTGGGGCTGTCAACACCATTTCTTTGGGCGGTCTAACCTGGCTATATTTGTCTATGAATCGCTTTGGGTAGCCATTCTCCATAAGCGTTTTAGTGATCAGCTCAAACTCCTCAGGCAGGCAGTCGTTGGAGCAGATACGTCTGGCCCGAGTGAATAAAATCATAAAAACATTGTTCACTCGGGCCAGACATATCTGCTCCAACGACTGGTTACACCTATTCGGGGATGCTGGTACATTGACTCCGAGTCAACCTGTGATAGGCTTCATTCTAATGCCCAGGGGTGAGGGTTTTCTTACTCTATCGTGATTGGCACTCCGACAATCAAAGTGATTTCGAGGCAGTGGTCAATAATCCAGTGAACTCTTGCCAAAATCTACGGAACTTTCGGGTTGATTTCTAGCGAAACCGGTAGATATTTCGAACCAATTCTTGAGTATACCGATAAGCCAGAGGTAGTTTCTGAACGCTGAACACGATACGGCGATCATTGAATTGAAACACATGCGTCACGTAACGTTTTTGCAGCTGGATGATGGATCGGACATTGTACTACTGAACAGGCTTGACTACATTTCAAAGATCGGCTCCATTCTTCTTGGGGACAGAGTGAAATTCCGGCTAGACGAGACAGGAGGAAACAACATATTGGTGAAGGAGTAAGTGACAAGAAAAATGGATACTTTTGCTACTTGGTTAGATCAATGAGTCCGCATTCAGGCATTTAAAACCGACTAGGACCAGGCACCCAGAACGAGGGGTGCTCCAGGTGACATAAGTCAAGCAACCCGCTATGCCCGGTTATGTGTATGAACAATTCGCGGGGTGGCTGGCGAAACTACTAGACGCGTTGCGTCAACGCCTGTCTATGTGTTACCTTAAAGACTACCTTGAACTGGCCCGGACTCCGGAACAGTTGTCACTGAGCGCGGAGCTCATGGATCCAATGGACGTGGACTCCCTATTCACAAATGTGCCTATACGTGAGACCGTCAATAATTTCTGCGATTCCTTCCTCAGTCAGAACGTCTGTGGGCCTGCCAGTGGACT